CCACCTTCCTAGAATATTGTAGCTTGGAGATCTTGATAAAATGATGAGACGATCGGTCTAATTTTTGTGCAGCTCTCTACCTCTATTCGTACACCCGAACGTATATGTGTGCCGGAATGTAATCGCATTCTCAAGTAGTTCTAGAGATAAGGGCCTTTGTTTGTTTACAAGCTGACGGCCGAAATAGCTGGCACTGACGCCGGCAGCGACGCCAGCAGCGCCGCTTGCGTCGCTGACTAACTGAACGTTATGCAAAAAAAAAAAACTCTACAAAGTGTGAAAGTTATTAGCAAATGCAATGTGTATGTATGTATGTGTGTGTGTGTGTGTGTGTGTGCGTGTTCGCGAAAATATGCCATTAATTTACCTGTCTATAGGTGAGCTAATCACAGTGGCTCCTCCAAATGACAAAAGCACAGGTAACAAATAATGTCGTGTTATCTTTTTTTTAAACTGCGCCCTTTTCTCGAATTTCGTTGAGTTGTTGTTGTTGTTGTTGTTGTTGGGTTCGTTGTATTGTTCTTTTGAACGTTCAATTTCGTTTCTTATTTATATTTTATGTTGCACCGGCAAACACACACAAACAAACACTTTGGGCTGGGTGTGACTAATCCTGTTGCCGTTTCGCTGGACTCGTGCTTTTTGGGCTTATGTTCTTTAAGCTCGTACGGCAAATAAATCAAAAGTTGTACAAAAACAACCAAAACAAAAAAAAAAACAAATTAAAACAATTCTGTGCTGTGCTTCGTTGTTGTAGTTGTTGTTGTTGGTAAGGCTGCTGCTGCTTCTTCTTGGGAGTTGAGTTTCGTTTTTAAAACCGAGCGTCGGCACGTTGCAATCGATCGAGCACCAAAATCAGACTGAAGTTCGCCCATTCAGAATCAAAGCCGCGTAGAGTGGACGGCCAACCGGCCGAAGCTTAGACAGCAGCCGCAGCAGCGCAGCTGATGACGACAGCGCGCCGCGCAGTCAGCAGCAGAGATATGACCGAATACGACAACAACACCGCGAAGATGACAGCGACGTCGTCGTCGTCGTCGACGTCGATCGAGCGTGCGTGCGTGCGTGTGTGTGCGCTGCTGCCTCGGCTTGTACGCGTATGCGTGTGAGTTGCCCCCGCTATCAGTGCAGCGGCCGCTGTCAGCTGCGCTGCCTTTTTATGTGCGCAAAGTAACACATGAAAAACAAAGCAAAACAAAACAAAAACAGCGGCTTAGTGTGAGGCTGCGAAAACAACAACAACAACAAGAACAAAACGAGCAGCAGCAGAACTTTAGCAAAAGCTCTTGACTTTGCGCAGCCAAAGACAACGGCAACAACAACAACAACAACAGCAGTTTGTAACGGCGAGTTTCTTGTTGTTGTTCTCTAGGACCACATCGGCTACCCTATAAAGAGTATGCACCTAGTCCAAATTGGAATTTGTTTTTGCACAGGCTATGACCAATTGGAGCTTAGTGTGAGAATGACTCGCCGTAAGTAGAGTAGCTTTTTTTTTGCTTTTTATTTTTTTGCCTCATATGAGGTTAGGTTCGTGAGGCAGTTCCTGTTTCGAATTACGATTTATTGAAAAGTTTATTTTTGATATCTTTGTTAATGTTTGGGAAAATATGTTTATATTGACTTTATAGCTACATATGTACAATGGTAATCGATTTGTTTCAGGTGTTGTTATAGCCGTAATAAACATAGCTTATGTCTGTGTTTATGGAGAAAAACTGTGAAATTGAAACGCTCGAATTATAGATTATTTATTCAATTACCAATAAACGAAAAGATCTATATTGAATTGTTGAAATCTGAATATATCATGTTTTTTATGATCAACCATTTTTAATATCAACAATTGCTTGAAATAAGCGTGCATATAAATGTATAAACTTTTATGTATAAACCGAAGACAATAATGTCCCAAATTTAATTTCAAACGAAAAACTGATTCAGAAAAGCGTCCCTCTATAGTTAGGGTATTTCAAGTTCGACCAGCTGGAAAGCGCAAAAGACGCCAATATGTAGCTAAGCTCAACATACAACGAACTTATTGATACCTAATCGATTTCAGCCTAGCTCCTGTTCCTTACATTGGTTAGGGTATACAAAGTGCGACATGTGGGCGCATATATAGTTTCAATCGATTAAAGTTCAGTTTTGGCTAATGATGCGACGACTGTTATGGCAAATTTGCATAAGGTTGGCAACTCCATAATGATATTGCCAGTGGGATTTGGCTAATCGATCGTGCAAAAATGGGAAAACTTGAAAGTGCCCAACAGCAACAACAACAACAACAACAATGGACGTGTCCAAGTGCACGGCCGAGTCATAGCGCCAGGCAGATATCTATGTGTATACGTATTATATTTATTAAATGTATATAAATATTTTAAATTAATTATACACACACACATACATGTATGTACATACATATATGTAAATCAGTGGAATGGCATTCGTGCATTGATCATGCTTGGGTGGGTGTCATTGTTGCAGTTGCCAATTCGTAAGCTTTTGTAAACAGCACGATTCAGAAGACGCCCCCACGCGACAAAAAGCCAAAGCTTAAAAGCAGCAAAAAGAGAACAAAAAATTAGTCATGCAGACGCTGCGCAGACGTCGTGGCTAGACGGCAGCCGATAAACGATAAACAACGATTAACGATAGACAATGGCCATTCGCCGATAGACGGCAACGTTTGATGGCGTTTCTGTTCACTTGCTGCGACTGCATTTGGCCAATGGCCATGTGGATTCTGGTTCGAGCTGGTGGCAACTGTTACAGACAGACAGACGGAGAGACAGACATATGGCCATAGCGGGTGTCTCTGTGCCAATTGCGGCTCAGGTTTATTGATTTATTTTGCAGTTAGCGTCAACGTCAACGTCAGCGCCGCTGCCCACGCGACACTGGCTTCAAATCATGGCCGAGAGATTGGCGCAATTGTAAAGCGGCCAACGCGCAAAAGCCTTAAAAACGCACACACTGAAAACAAGAAAGAGTGCTTGTCGTTTGTCGTGCACGACCAGCAGATACCCTGCAGTCAGGCTCGAGTAGCTTTCGAATTGAACACTGCCTGAAAATTGCTATTTATCGTTGCCAGCCTGCCAATGTGTTTACAGGGTATGCAGTAAAAAAAAAAAACAAAAAACCATGGCCAAACGCCAATGAAGCCTGAACAGCTGTACGAGCAGAACGCCAGCGGCAGCTGTGGCGTCATCGCCGCGTTCCAAGGAGCTGTGCCCAACTGGATTCGCCGCGGCGGTCAGGCGAGTTCAGATGCTGCTCGAAATTGATGCATGGCGCATGACTCATCCAGCCGCAGCGCAGCCACTTTATCAGGCGCCCCAATTGGCCACTCTCGAAAGACAGAGATAGCGAGACAGAGCGAGATAGAGCGCGGCTCAGACGCAGTCGACGCAACGTCGCTGTCGCTCGCCGGCGCAGTCGCTGTCGCTGTCGCTGTTTGCGTCTGCTTCTGCGTCTGCGTCTGCGTCTGCGTCTGCGTGGGCTGATTAACGTCTGCTGCTATTTTTGTACAATTTTCGTATTTATTATTATTATTAATATAGATGTTTTTCTATTGTCGCCGCTCGTAGATCATTTTGGCCAAGTTAAGAGGCATCGTCATCGTTTTTCCATTGATTTTTTTGTTTAACGACATTTTAACGATAATTGCGCGCCGTCTAAGCCAGCTCAGCGCACAGCCCACACAGCGGAGCCGGCCAGGCCAACCCCATAAATGACCCAATTTGGTCAGGTTGAACTGGGTTGAGCTGGGCTCTGGTCTGTGTGTGAATCTCCACAGCTTGTTCTCGAATATCTGCTCGCTCTCCCCACTCCATGTCTGTCTACTTTAAAGGCAATGACTGACGCATCCAGCAACGGCGGAGAGGCAATGAACTTGCAACAGGTGGCTTAGTGGTTAGGTGAGCCAACAGCTAGACAGAGGAGCATAGGCAGGCAACTGGCAGAGGGAGAGGGAGAGGGCGATGAAGATGAAGAGGAGCACAGCTCAGCTGAGAATTACATAGAAGGCACCATATCCAGAAAATGAGTAAATCGAAAACTTGACCAAAGGCTCTGTGAAACTCGAATTAAAGGGTATACAGTGAGCCCTCGTTAATTGCAGCATTCAGAAACTATCAGAAGCTGCTTGCTACACAACGGAAACTAGTTATTACTCCTGACAGCTACGACACTCTATTATACTCTAAGTAAGACAAATTTGAGATCTGTCATAAAATTCCATTCCTGAAAACAAATTTTGGGTATGCTTAGCAGAAGCTGTTTGATACATTACTCAAATATATGGACTTACTCTCATCTATAGATTCAGAAATAGCAAAAGCTGCATAGTATAAGACACAAATGCACATCTTCTGTAGGCAGTGCATAGCAAAAGCTGGTTGATTTAAAACTTAAAACTAAGATTCATACAAAAAGCAAACATTGCAACGCATAAGACAGCCAAAAGGACATTTGGACACTTACACAATCTACTAATCTAAACTAAACGAAGCCGAACAAAAGCTGATTGATATACGACACAATTAAGGAGTTTATTGATGCACAACTTTTCGGTATAAGACTCGAGTGAAAGTCAAGGATATACAGAATGAGGAAAGACGTTAAGAGATTTCGGAGCAGGGAGCTACAATACTTATTGAAGGCATCTACAGACAAGAAGCTGTATGATGCAACACTTGAAAGTTAACTGCCATTTGAATGCATGAATATGAATTGAAACGGATAAGAGAGACAAGCTGAACGCTGAAGCAGTTGCCAGCAGGAAAGGCACAAAAAGCTGATTGGTATACAACTCACATGTAAGCTGATTAGTATGAAACTCACGTGAGAGCTGACCTACTCTACAAGAGCGAGTGAGCTGCAAATACCAAGGCAATGTAAATGATGAAATATGCTTATTTAAGTCTTATGCCAAATACACTTTTAATAATATGAGATCTCAGATAAATATATCCAATTTAATTCACAGCGCTTACCATTTTCCTCAGCAACTCCTCGTTTTGAATGGCACCCAAATCGCATTCCAGTTCCATGGCAAAAACAGTTGCAAAGTTCGGTGGCGACTCCTGCACAAAAAAAAACATACAAAAATAAATTAAAATCGAAAAGAAAAAGAAAAAGAAAAACCCATTCATATGCACAATAAGTAAGTTAAATGAAAATGTCAGTTGAAGGCGGCCGTTGGCTGCCTTCCGATGATGCAATTCACTTTATCATACCCCGTACACATAACATAACATGGGGTATGTTAAACTTGTAAGAAAATCAAGAATGGTCAGATCAAGAATTACTTAAAGAGTCACGATTCAATTTTATGGCTCTAAGCTCTAAAGAGAAAAAGAAGTACAGGATATTTGCTAGTCGATCATAAGCAACAACTGTTGACTTCTACGTGTTGCTCTAACGAAAAGAATAAGGCTTATTTGTTAGTCGATCAAGAGCAGAAAACGTCTACTCCTACTCCAAATAAACAAAGCACAGGATATCTGCTAGTCGCTCATCAATGTTGTGCAATAGGATAAACACGGGGTATTTGTGTGTGTGTGTGTATGATAAGCAACAAGGTTCTACTGCTACTTGTTGCTTTAAAAAAAAGCATAGGGTATCTGCAGGTCTATCATCAGCGATAAGCGCCTACTTTCACTTGTTGCCTTAAAAGAGAAGAAGCACAGGGTATCTGTACGTCTATATAGGCATGAGGGTACCTACTGCTATTTGTTGCTCTAACAAAATTGCAGGGTATCTGGTAGTCTGTCATTACCGATAAGTGAGTACTGGTAATTGCTGCACTAAAAGATAAAAAGCTCAGGGTATCTGCTAGTCAATCATCCCTCTTTTTTTTAAACAAATATCACAGGGTATCTGGTAGTCTATCATAAGCGATAAGCGCCTGCTGCCACTTGTTGCCTTAAAAGAGAAGAAGCACAGGGTATCTGCACGTCTATATAAGCATGAGGGTACCTACTGCTATTTGTTGCTCTAACAAAATTGCGGGGTATCTGGTAGTCTGTCATTACCGATAAGTGAGTACTGGTACTTGCTGCACTAAAAGATAAAAAGCTCAGGTTATCTGCTAGTCAATCATCCTTCTTTTTTTTTCAAACAAATATCATAGGGTATCTGGTAGTCTATCATTAGCGATAAGCGCCTGCTGCCACTTGTTGCCACTAAAAATGCGAATGCATTTTTCATTTTGATTCATTTGTTGTCGTTGTTGTTGTTGTTGTTGTTGTTGTTGTTGTTGTTGTTGTTGTTGTTGTTGCTGCGGTTTCTCAAGTGTACGTACATAGATTCGTTAATATTATTTTCAATTTATCATGATTTCTGTGTGTGTATGTGTGTGTGTGTGTGTGTTTTTTTATTGCACTCCAGCACGACGACGAGGCGAACCAGATCCCCACCAAAGCCAAGTCCCCAAGTGCCCCAAGTCTCCCAAACAAGTTGTGACATTTCCCCCGTAAATGGTTAAAATGAAACATGGCAAATGTTGTTGTTGTTGTTGTTGTTGCAGTTGTTGTTGTTGTTGTTGCAATTGTTGTTGCTGCTGCTCATTGGGTTGGCAGTTGTGATTAGTTGATGCGGCCGCCAGCGTCGCATTTGGGTTTCAGTTTTGGTTAAGATCAAAACACGATGTTCGGTCAGACAGCAATTGGAATCCACAGCACGTTCTCAGCGCAAGGTGAGGGGATTCTCAAAGGGGGGGGCGGGGCGTACCGCTGTGAGGCAACTGGCCGTTCGCCCGGCCAAAAGCCAAACAAGTTCAAAACCACAATTGGGCAAATAGGCTGACGACAGTCAGTCAGTCAGTCAGTCAGTCAGTCAGTCAGTCAGTTGGTCAATCAGTCAATCAGTCGCCTTATCAAGCAGCGGGGTCAGCCGCCGAAAAGCCGGAGCCGAACTGAACTTGAAGCTGAAGGTGCACGAGAAGAAAACCCTTTAGGAGAACTGAAGGTCAAGGGTAGATTTGATGCGGCTACTCCAAGATATATATTTATATATATAGTATAGTATAGTATAGAAACAAGTATGCCCGACTGGGAGATATGCTGCAACCAAAGACAGGCTGCTTTCACAATAGATATAGAAAATTTGTTCTCAAGTAACTTCGGTGCTTATTGTCCGATCTTAATGAAATTTTCAGCGCTTAGAGCGCAAGGGTCTAGCTTGAGAAATTCTCAAGGAAATAGAGGTGAACTACTCTGAACCTACAATCTATAACCCCTAAACAATATACCAGATTTTGTGCATCAAGATTTTTTATAGTATTCGAGTTTTGCTAAAGAAACCAACTCTCAACTCTCATGATATAAATAAATGTCTATCTGAGTTTATGCTTCAAATTTGAAGTTTCAAAGATATAATCAGCTTCCGATACAGAACATATACTCTGGTATTCATTCATATAATCTCTAGATTTAGTTGTTTTCAAGATAGAATCAACTCGATATCCCAATCAGGAATATATATATATATATATAGGTATTTATTGATATAGTCTTAAGTCTTTGTAAATGAGATCCTGCAGGTTTTTTTGGTAGAAGCCAAATTATTATGCGTGACATGATGTCATTTGATTGGAAAATATACTCTAGATTAGGTCTATATATGAGATATGAAATAATTCACAATAAGCAATAAAAGTAATTCGAAGTAATTAATTAAAATGTTGAGACTAAACGATAGAGATGTTTTTTATAGCTTTTGACCAAGCAAAATTGCCGCTAAAGGTTACAGAGGGTCTAGCCTGGTCGCCATTTGTGGAACAAGTCACAATCATGCCCTAAAAGAGCCAGACAAACAGCACTCATTTAAAGCCCTTAATGCCATATAATGTTAGATAAACAAACTATATGCATAATTATAGCCAATTTAGCTGCGCCACAATTCATATGAGCTCGTCTCCAAAGCTCATAAGTCAGCGATTTACATGTGTTGCTTAATTTGAAATCTTGCAATTTGACGGATCAATGGAATTATCGCGTGTCTGTGTGAGAATCGCGTAGGTAGGCGCGTGGCCAATGCCCCGCGACTGAAGCGATTAACGATTAACGATAAATGGCAAGCGCTGTGGCGGGCGCTCGTAAATTTTCGAATGCCCGAAAATGTGAACGCAAACAACAGAATATGGCAATGCGCTTAATTCCTATTGAAATCCAATTCGATTTAAATTAGTTATGTTCCCCCCTCCCCCCTCCCCCCTTCACCATTTTTTATTACTTCTGCTGTGCTTTTAGACGCCCACAGTGCGAGCGAAAGAGACGGCAAGAGCGCGACTGCGCTGCCGCTGTGTAAGGCGATATATTCAATAGCTGATTGATTGATTAATTTGCCGCTAGATGGCGCCTGGGAGCCAACAGGAAAACCGCAAAACGCTTAGAACATGTTGGAACTTAATTTGCATGCCAATGTGTGCGTGTGCGTGTGAGTGTGAGTGTGTGGATGTTATTGTGCGTGTGTGTGTGTGCTGCCCATCTTACCTGCTGCTGCTTATCAGAGACGTCGACTGCGTCGCGGCTTTTGTAACTGGAGACAAGCACAAGTTGAAGACAAACAGCAACAACAATTTAAATAAATACAAGTATATTAAAAAAAAAAAATAGTTGTAATTAATGCAAAACAAACACACACAAACACACACGAGTGCAGAGAAAAGCTCTAGGTAATTACTGTAATTGTATTTGTTAAAGTTCTACACGGAAAGAGCTTAGGTTACGTGAATTAAGCAAAAACGATCGCGAGCTTGTTTTAGTGCGAAAGGGGTGCGGCAAGAGAGGGGGGCGCACTTTTGATTGACTTGCGGTTGCAACAAATAACTGTTTGATGTTCTGCTTCTTCTTCTTCTTGTTGTTGCTGTTGCCGGCACACGCGAATGAAGGAAAAGACGAGAAAAAAAACAGGAGCTGCCAGTAAAAATGCACGTAAAAAATAAAAACAAAATGTTGCTAAGCAAAGTTTATTATTTTGCTGCAATTGTTTAAAGTTCGCTGCTGTTGTTGCTGCTGCTGTTGTTGTTGTAACTGTTGTTGTAAGCGTTGTTGTTAACTGTGTGAAAGATGCGCACAACCGTTTGGCACGAGCGGAGGCTCTTAACTGATTGTGCAAACTGCAATTGTTGCTGCATTTAGGCTCGTCGCCGAGCAGCGAGATAGGCGCCAGCAGAGCAGCCGCAGCAGCGGCAGCAGCAACAGCAGCAACAGGCTAAAGGGGCTGAGGAGCTGTGGGCAGCGGTCAACTCCACACAGTCCCAGTCCGGATGTAGTTCGCCTCGTCGCAAATGTCGCTGCGCTGCGCTGTGCGTGTGCGTGTGTGCGTGCGTGCGTGCGCGCGTGTATGTGTGTATGCTGTAGCAAGGAATAAAAACAACAACAACAACAACAGCACTGCACTGTTAATCAGACATAACCTTGAATGCAATGACAACAATTGAACTCAACTTAAATTTAGGAGCTGCTCCGCAAGGACTTTCATTGTTCGCCCTTTTCGCATGCATAATTTATTAAATAAACAACTAAATAGTTAATTTCACAGCTTGTCAATTATCAAAGCTTTCCACATTTAACAGCTGTGAAATCTTGTAACATAATAATATAATATAATAAAGAGTTTTTTATTATAATTATTATTCTTGGACTTAGGTGAAAACTTACCAACCCCTGTAAAATGGAGAGAGGAACCGACTTGGCTGGATGAGGAATCTATATACTTTATGGGAGGCACTGTAAGGTCTGTAAAGTGTTTGAGGTGCGGGCTTTGGGGGTTTGCAATTTGAAAATCGAATATTAAAGAAAATGAAAGCTAGAAATGAACGAGTTTTATTTAGGCGGGTTTCGTTTTGATATGTGAACAGGATCCGAAGCTAATGACAGTTCCTCGATTCGATGGCCGCCATTGTGGGGCGAATTTCTAGAGGCCATTCGAATTGCGACGGCGACGACGACGTGGATGATGCAACAGATTCGAGTCCAGCTGGAACTCATCCCCGCTGGACGTGGTCGATTGGATTACCTCGTTTGTGGAGCTGATGCTGCTCTCATCGCTGGCCTCGCTTCCGTCCGATGGCACCGGCGATGGCCATTCCATTTCCATGAGCTTCGGACCGCCGGCACCAGCTGCCGGCGTGTCCAGCTCCAGCGAGAGGGCGCCAAACTGCTGCTTAATCTTGCGGCTGGCGTCCTCCACAAAGTATTCCTCGGCTGCCGGGCCCTCGGCCTCGTCCTCCGGTATTGGCGGCAGTGTGTCCGGCATTTTGAACGACTCCCGCGACTTGTTCAACAGCAGCGAGGCAATATAATCGCGCTCCTTAACCACTTTGCGTACGTTCTGCATTCTTGTTGATGAGGCTTTGCTAAATTGATTGACTTTTTCCCTGTGTGAATTTTATTTGCTATCCCAATTGACAGTTATCAAGTGTTGTTAATGACAGCTAAACACACAGCACACTAGATCAAGGACTCCCGACCCCTGCTGATGCCAGAGACGGACAATTTCAAGGCTGGCTAGATTAAAGACTCGGCCTCTGTTAATTCCACTTACGATTCTGTTAACCGCACAGAACACTCTGTTAGCTACAGTTACAGTAGTGGGGTTTCCAACAAGAACTTGAAAGGCTGATTAGATTAATTATTCAGTCTCTGTTAATTCCACTTCCGATTCTGTTAACCGCACAGAACACTCTGTTAGCTCGAGCTACAGTGGTCGGTTTTCTAATAAGAACTTGAAAGGCTAACTGGATTTAAGAATCGGCCTCTATAAATTGCGTTTCCGACTGTGTCAATCGAAAGTAGTAGCTAATTGGAACTTTCTAAAGGGATATTTAGATAAAATTGTTGTTAATGACAGCTTGATACAAGGCACACTAGACTAAAGACTTAACTCCTGTTAAAGGCCCTGTTAGCTCCAATTACAGTGTTCGCTATCTAATAAGAACTTTTAAGTTTCAAATTCAAGTCAGACTATATTACAGCTTCTGCTAATTGCGTTTCATACTCTGTTAACTAAATAGAAGACACTGTTAGCCGTAACTACAGTGTGCGCTGGCTAATAAGAACTGGCAAACAAAATAATGAGCTATTGATACAGATGCCAATTCATGAGTTCAGTGCTTGGTTCGATCTCCAATTCATCTTAACTTTGACCAATAGAAAAATAATACGCATTATTGAATTTATTATTTAATTTTTTGTTGTTCATTTGAACTGGTTCATTGTTCATTGAGCACTGTAGCAGCTACAAATGTTGCATTATATTTTTCGAATATACGTAAATTTTTATTTTGATTTTGTTTTTGAAGAAAAGGTTCGCGGCGCATGTTTAGCTTTGCTTGTGGCAACTGATGCCAGACTCAGGAGTCGGTTCATATCTGAACCGGTTCAGTTGAGCGTGTGGCATCATGAGTTACTTCTGGCTGCTTTTCTCTTATTGGACTTTGGTTAAACTCGAGGCCTGCCGTTTACAGTTACGTCAATTGGACGCAGCAGATCTCTCGATAAGGCAGCTGCAGCCCAATTGCGCCGCCTTATCGAAATGCAAAGCGCAGCACCAAAACAAAAAAAAACATAAAACAACAAAAGGAAAACAACACAAAAAGCATATCACAAAAAAACAACAACAACAAACCTGCGAGTGCCACATGGTCAGTGGGTTGTGCACTTTTGGCCAAAACCACTGACTGAAAATGTAAAAACCAGCGAATGACTTGAGACGAGACGAGAGGAGATGAGCTGATGCCAGGCAATTGCTGTTGTTGTTGCAGTTGTTGTTGTTGTTGTTGTTGTTGTGCGTGTGTGTTGAATGTCAACGTCAACGTTCAGTGTCAATCAAATGAAATCGAATGAAATGCTGCAAAATTCTAGGAAAACATTTTCAACATGCAACTGGCACAAGGAGATCAGCAGCAACAGCAGCAACACAACAGCAACAACACAACAGCAGCAACAACAACAGCAGCAGCAACAATAGGAACAACAACAACATAAACAACACCAACAGAAGCAACAACAACAGAGCTACAGCAACAAAGAAGCAGCAACAACACCAGCAATAACATCAACCTCCGCAGCAACAACACCAGCAGCAACAGCAACAGGAGCAGCAGCAACAACAGCAATGGGCGCAGATGCAACAGCAACAATTGCAAATAACAGCAAGTGCATCAGCAAGAACAGATATAACAACAGCAATAACAGCAACCTCAGCAGCAACGACAGAAGCAACAACAACAACAGTAACAACAACAAAAGTTCCAGAAGCAACAACAGCAACAGCAGCAAGATCAACAACATCAGAGGCAACAACAACAGCAACAAGAACAATAGATAGAGACGCAACAGCAACAATTGCAACATTAGCAACAATAACAATAAACAAGAACAACAGCAACAGCAGCAACAGCAGCAGCAGCAACCCTGCAGCGCAAGAATTACGCTTGCGAGCAACACTTGGGTGGGCGTGCCTGGGGGCAACATGTGACAAATGCGGCTCTAACGCGCTGCCAAAGCAACAGCTGCGCCCCAAAACAAGAAGTGGAAGAACAACAACAACAGCAACAGCAACAACAACAGTTGCCGCTTGGCACAGTGAAAGTGTTGCACGAGCAACTGTTGCCGCAGCATCGAAGGTTGCGCTGCCCTTGTCCGGGCCAAACAAATGGCTGTTGCATGGCCGAGGGGGACGAGCGGGTAAAGGGGACACAGGGGACACAACGATGATGTCAGCGCGTAGGCAGCCAGGCAAGTCGAAGATTGGGGCGCCACGACGCAGACGGCTGCCACAAGTGCCATAAAAGGATGCCAGCAGCTTTTGTGGCCACACGCACACACCAAAATATATATATATATATATATATATCACGCATGAAAAGTGCACAAAAATTGATTTTAATTTATTTTAAGTGATTCACAGCGAAATCGCTAAATGTAAACCTTGGACGCGCTAAATTTGTCGCTGACAGCAGCAGCAGCAACAGCAACAACAGCAACTGCAACAGCAACTGCAACAGCAACTGCAACTGCAACAATTGCGTAATTAAAATGCAGTTGATTTGAATTCCATTTGTGTGTGAAATTTGTGTGTGCATTCCAAATGGAGATGAGCATCGTGTCGTGCTTTCTAGCGTGAAAGGAAAAGCAAGAGATATGCCCCGAACTCAGAGTCGAGCTGATCTTATCAGCTGTCTTATATACACACACACATAAGCACACAAATACGTAGACACACACACTCACACACACACACACACACACACAAAAGGTTTCCAAAATGCGAGAGCATACACACAAAATTAACTATCTCTAGCTTAAGCAAACATTTTTCAAAATCGATATATATCGATATTTTGAGAATGCCAGAAGTTATCGAAACAAATTTTGATCGATTCAGATTGTGGCTCTGATCAAGAATATATAAAACCCTAAGCTGTGCGAGAATTTACGAGCTATATTTAAAGAATCATTAACAGAAATCGATATTTATCGATACTATGTGAATAGTTATCGAGCGCAAATTATGAACTTGTATTCTGCAAAAATAGAAAAGTTCAAAGAGATCTCAACTTCAGCATCTATAAGCTATACGAGAGCTGAAAAAAAACTATATGCTAAAATCGATATTTATCGATATTAGGTAAGGGCGTGCAGTTATCGATCGAGTTATCGAGTCGATATATACATGGCTCTGATCAATGTATCTGATATGCTATGCCTATGCATATATTTACATGAGTTCCTTAAACAATTTGAATCCACTTTCGATCATTATTTAAGATGCTCCTTGATCCGCATTTGGTCCCGACTTCAGTTAGCTCAGCTCTGCAAAATCGTGAGTGCTTTAAATAGTATTCCAAAACGCGTCCATCTCTAGATGCCATTTGTACAGATCATTCATTATTTTAAAAACATTTTTGCTGGTTTTTTTATTTAAACTAGGTATACAATAAGGAATAAATTTGTATAGAATCTTTTATAGTTAATAGCTAAGTGAATGCCATACTGAATGCAGTTTACGCAATGTGTTTAACTAACAACTAATCAGTGCTAAATACAACTTAGTTATATTATAAACCGGGCATGCCCAATAGCTGTCTCTCTATATAGTATATAGCTATCTATATACCCATATATATACATATGCATACATATATAGATACACATATATATATATATAGTATATATCGTATCGTATGTTCGAGAATGTCGTCGAGATGATATCAATATGAAAGCAACAATTGAAAAAAAAAACTATATATATATATATAATGTGTGCGAATATATAATAGTATACATAGATATATGTATGTATAATGAATATATGTATGCATGCATGTATGTGTGTGTGTGTGTGTGTGTGTGTGTAAAGTATTAGTTACTAAAAGTTCGCCAAACAAAAAAAAGGAAAAATTGCAAATCGAAACTACATAAAACAAAAGAGAAAGATTAGAAGTGGCCGCTGAAGTGTTCATTCGAATCGTGTTGAATGAATCAAATGAGTGGAATCAAATACAAAGTGAATCACAAATCGATGTACATCAATATTATCAAATAAAATATTTACGAGCTCAGCGCAAATTATGACAAATTCAAATAGCTCAATAAAATCACATGAGAATACAAGATTTTGAAGATTTTGAATGAGAGCTCTATAAATAAAATGATCATTCGAATTAGCTACAATTTACAAATGAATCTTTATGCTAACGAAATTCAGAACAATTCAAAATACAATCACATGATATGCATTACAAAAATAAAATGAATCCAACACAAAGTTATGCAATTGATTCGAATGCTTTGAATGAGACATGACTGTATGAGTAATGAGTGCAAGAAATAATGAGTTAACGCTGTTATGAATCAAAAAACTAATTCAAATAAAATCACAAAAAAATAAAGCATTCACTAAAACCAATGCCATAAACATTCGAATGATTTGAATGGAAAGCGTATCAGTTTTCTTGCTACACTAAATGATTCAAAAATTGTTTTGAATACAATACAGATTCACATGAGAAGGGCCCTTTAACTAAATACTCTCGAGTCATATGCTATGGCTGATGAATACAAAACTAAACTGAACTGAGATGCGTGTTAAATTCGATGCAATGGAATTGAGAAACATTTAACATTTGAGAATTTTGGCACAGCTTAACACTTAAACGCTTAGTTATGCTACATTATAAGATACTAACTAATACTAGTAGGTGTCTTTAGATTGTGGAAACTTCTAGTGTGGCAATACAGTGGAGCGTATTAACTATGGCCTTATAGACAATATATATATATATATTTATATATATATGTGTGTGTATAAACGATTTCTAAATACAATACAGAATACAATACATTCGTTTTTTGTATGCATTTGCTTAACGACTACAAATGGAAGAACAGTTCCGTCTTATTAAATGAAGAATTGTAAATGGAAATTGCATTTGCAGTTGTTGTTTAGGGTTCGAGCAGCTCGAACGCTGGCGGACACATACAATGTATACACGAATCAAAAAAAAAAAAATAATAATAAAATAAAAATAAAAATTACATTAAATTAAAACGAAAACGAAAACTCAAATAAAATTGCACACACATTGAGATTTTTGTTCTTAAAAAGGACTTGGAAGCGAGAGAATCTATGAATTAAGTCGGCAGCAGGTAGGTGGTAATTAATTCAATCCGTAACGCCCAGATGCACCAGCTGCTGCATGGTGCGCTGCAAGTAGGTGGGATCCGGGAACATATTGAACTGTGTCTTATGATCGACGCTATTCCAAATGACCACATCCTCGCGGCCGGTGGTCACCGAACGTCCAATCGAGAACAGCAAACGTCGATCGAAGGCGATCTTCAGGAAGCGCAACACCTTGCGCCCCAGCGGACAGTCTGGCAAATAGCAGATGCGCGGAAATCCAACGGCAAAGAAGGCGCGTCCCGGATGCGGATGCTCAGCGGTCTGCAGGCCCGACGCAATGCTGCAAGCGACAACGACAGAGATAGAGAGCGAGAGCGAGAGAGCGAGAGAGATGGAGGTTAGAGCGGGATGATGCACGTTTTTAGGGCCTGCCTACTCACTCGTATACAATCTGTATGGTGTTCTGGCCCTCGTGGCCGGGCAAGCTTTTGCTTATGATGCTCCAGGACATGGTGCCAATGGGCTGGTTGCCCACCTTTTCGCCATAGACAATGCCACAAACGGGACACTCAATGAATAGGTTTTGCTGCAAGTGTAAGATCAAGAGATTTGGCATAATTTAAAGCGAGTTAGAACGATTTAAAATACAACATTTGAACTTTGCCCTTTCCCCTTTGGCAGCCAGCCTCAGCTTTGGCCACAATCTTGTATAATCACCTTATTTAGCTCGTTCTGCTGTGCTATGATCATGCCATTGAGGCACTGCAGATGCATCAAATGCTGGCAGCGACTCAGCGATATGGCTGGATTCTGGGCCGAGTGCACCAGCTCCTCCATGCACATGGGGCAGGGCTGTGCGTTGGGCCACAGCGGTGGCTCAACGACCTTCACGAAGCGCGATATCATGTCACTGGCCGGGTCCACGCCCACAATCGAACCAGCGATTGATTGTTGCTGCTGTTGTTGTTGCTGTTGCTGTTGCTGCTGTTGCTGCTGCTGCTGCTGCTGCTGTTGCTGCTGCTGCTGCTGATGATGATGCGGCATGGGCAGTGGCGGCGGCACCGGCGCCCGTTCGCCCAGCGACGATGGCGGCAGCGATGGCACAAACACCTCATCACTGCCCAGCGAACAGTCGAGCAGATCGTTCACAGATATGGCAAAATTGCGGCTGCGCAGGCTCTCCTTGCTTTCATGGCTGAGATATGTGGAGACGGTATCCACGCTTGGCCGCCGGCGATGCGACTTGACGCTGTTCGTGTCCGTATCCGAGGCACGCGTGCGCGAACGCGAACGATGCGAGCCCATGCGGCTGCTGCGCTGCGACTGCAGTGATCCCTCCGAGCAGCGGCTATGATGGCTGTTCATCGAGGAGGTTAGCATGTTTTTGCTGCTGTGCGAAAAGTGCGCCTGATGCTGGTGCTGATGCTGATGCTGCATCAAGTGCAGCGTTGATCCGACCACATTCGAGGCACAGCTGCTGACCGCTGTTGCCGTCGCCAGATGATTGCCGCCGCAGTTGCTGCTGCTGTGGCTGCTGCTGCTGTTGCTGTTGCTGTGCTTGGTGCTGCTGCCAAATATGTTCAGATTGTTGAGTATCTGTCGCAGATTTGTTGTCGAAATCTCGCTGTGCTTTTTGTGCGGCTTGCGCTGTTGTTGTGCATGTGAATGTTGCTGCAGTTGCTGCTGATGTTGGTGTTGCTGCTGTTGCTGCTTCTGCTGATGATGTCCATTGCTCACGGGCATGGGCAACGGATGCTGCTGGCGATGCATTGGCGGCAGCATGGCGCCCATTTTGGGCAGCGTATTGTTGCGCTGCTGCTGCTGCTGCTGCAGCTGATGATGATGATTGGCCGCGTAATCGTGCCCGTTGCCCTTCAGCTGGAGCGCCTGCTGCGGCGTCAGCTTGACCAGCGGATAGGGCGCCTGCTGTGTGCGGCGTATGCCGCGCAATGGACCGCTCGGCTGGCGCATTTGCGTTAAATTGCAAAAGTTAATGGTATAGGGCAGGCTGATGTTCGTGTGGCACAGATCCAAGGTTTGTTCGCCCTGCAATCGAAATGGAATATTGTTTAGCAATTGATGTGTTACAGCTTGGCCATTCCAGCTGCGAGTACTTACACGCGCCCACGCATCCTCAATGATGCACTGCACATGCATGTTGTATGGCCGCCAATCGCAATTGCTGTCCGCACTGCCGCCGGACCATTCCCATTTGGTGCCCTTGCCCGCCGGACTGCTGGGCGCATAGAGCATGCGCCGCACGCCGATTGTCATTAAGCCCGCCTCCGATTCGGTGTCCGACTCCTGGGTCATGGTGCGCACATTGACATAGTATTGCTCCAGGCTGGGATCGGCATCGCTGAGCATGACCCGCGTCAATTTCTTGACATGCGCACGCTCCAAATGCTGTGAAACGGCCGGCGAATAGGGCAACCATTTGCCGCCGCGCGACTCAAACTCCCAGACGCAAACGGCGTGCGTGTGATTGATGCCTGCTCCTACGCCTCCGCCAGCTCCACATCCACCTCCACCAACGCCGCCGCCGCCAGCAGCAGCGCCACCACCAGCCCCGTTGCTGGCCATATTTTGTGATATTTAGCACTCACTTCATTTTCTTTTCATTTAACTATTGTTGTTGTTGTTTTCATTATTTCATGATTTTATTAGCGTTTTGTTTATGGTTTTCGTTTTTATTCACGTTCTCGTTCACTGTTTATGCATTCAAATTCGGCTGCGATCGTTGCTGACACTGCGACGAAGATGGAACACAAAATAAACAAAGAAATTAAAAATGGTGGCCCTGCCTGGGCAGGGGAGGTGTGCATTGCAGCACCATGTCAATCAGTACCTTTTGCTGCACTTTTGGTTTTGTTCAAATGCACCACTTGCACAGCACAATAACGAAAACCAAATTTCAGTTCGACTTTAATTAATTTATATGCAAATTTTAACATTTGGGCGCAAGCGCAAATGGTAATGCAACAGGTAGAATAAATTATAGTTGTTGAAGTGTGCACGTATTTCACTGCACAATATATAAATTCTAGTAGTTTTAGCAGTAGATTTTGGTATTTTTATACTTAACGCCTACGGTCACATTGCTGTGAATGTATCGAAAATTGACATATCGAATGCCATGGCATGCAACTCTGTGTGCGCCACCTATTGGCCGATGCGTATAAACTTTAGATAAATGACATATCGAGCGCCATGGCATGCAACACTGCGTGCGCCATCTACTGGCCGATGGGTGTAAACTATAGATAAATGCAACCCTGTTTCTGGCAAATGTCAACTTTGACAAGCAGGCAACTTCCGCCGCTCACGCCATTCCTTTACCTTTCTGACGGGCAGACGTAAAGCTGGTCTTTTTAAACGACCTGCAAAATAATCTGCTTTTTTTGTTAGCATCGTTAAATAAAACTGTGTGAAAATGGTTGTTAAGAAGGTAAACAATGCTACCCAACCAAATAAACCAAACATTTCAAGTGCCAAACGTATCGTGCCGTGAATTATTTCGATTAACACCATTTTTTTTATGCAATTTTTTTTGTGTTTTGTTTTGTGTTTGTGCCCCCATACAAGTGTACCCAATATGCACATATACCAACTAAATATATATGTCATATGGCCGTGTTATATTAAACTGAATCAATTTCATGCATGTTACAGCCCAGGCCAAAGAAGAAGCCAGTGACCAAGAAGGTGGCCCCAGCCCCATTGGCTGTGAAGAAGCCCGTGGTCAAGAAAGTTGTCAACCAGCTCTTCGAGAAGCGTCCCAAGAACTTTGGCATTGGTAAGTGCTTTCATCTATGGCTTATGCCTAGAATTCTAGTCACATTAATTAACTTCAATTGATGCAGGCCAAAATGTTCAGCCCAAACGTGATTTGTCGCGTTTTGTGCGCTGGCCCAAATACATTCGCGTTCAGCGCCAAAAGGCTGTGCTGCAGAAGCGTCTGAAGGTGCCGCCACCAATTAACCAGTTCAGCCAGACCCTGGACAAGACGACAGCCGTCAAGCTATTCAAGCTGCTGGAGAAATATCGTCCAGAGTCGCCGCTGGCCAAGAAGCAGCGCCTAAAGAAACTGGCCGAGGCCAAGGCCAAGGGCAAGGAAGTGGAGCCCAAGAAGAAGCCCAGCTTCGTTTCGGCCGGCACCAATACCGTCACCAAGCTCATCGAGCAGAAGAAAGCCCAGCTGGTTGTCATCGCTCACGATGTCGATCCTCTAGAGGTAAACGCTTTTTTCATCCATTGTTAAACCCATCTCTAGCCCAACACGTTGCGCTTATTCCATGATGTTAATTGAATTTCTTCAACTGAAACGTTTATTCAGACGTTGTCTGTGGTAAATTGACAGCTGAGAGTTTGTTTGCAACAAAAACCTGACCCCCCTGACCCCGTCTCGCCCCAAAGAGGAGCACGTGTTGCGGTTGACTTGAGAGCAAAGGCTTAACGTTTGTGATCTTTCTTGCAGTTGGTGCTCTTCCTGCCCGCCTTGTGCCGCAAAATGGGCGTTCCATATTGCATTGTGAAGGGCAAGGCACGTTTGGGACGTCTGGTGCGCCGCAAGACCTGCACCGCACTGGCCCTGACCACCGTTGAGAACAACGACAAGGCCAACTTTGGCAAGGTGCTGGAGGCTGTTAAGACCAACTTCAATGAGCGCCACGAGGAGATCCGTCGTCACTGGGGCGGTGGTATTCTCGGCTCGAAGAGTTTGGCTCGCATCGCCAAGCTGGAGCGTGCCAAGGCTCGTGAATTGGCCCAGAAGCAGGGTTAGGTTTTAGCCAGATGCGCGCAGCAACTATTGTATGCCTAAAAGCAAATGGACGTCGATTCAAGTAGAGAGTTGATCCCATACAACAACAACAACAACAACAAATAAACATTTAAGTGTACAATTTTTAACTATTTTTTTTCTCTAGATTGTATATTCAGAGTGCTAGTGCCGCTTGAACGGGCCAAGTCCTTGCTTGGCCCATTCAATAAACTTATAAGTCATTTATTTCTTTGCAATTTTTTGTTATTGCCAAAAGACAAAATCTAAACAGGCCCCCGGCAAACGAATTTCAATTTTCATGTCATTTAAGTGTTGTAAAATTATGCAAGCGTGCCAAATGTTTAACAGTGCCTTTTTGAGTCTAACATTGCATTAGACAGCTGCTGTTAAGCACTTGAATTCCAGTTGCAAAGTTTTGTAAATTTCCTAGATGTATGATTTCAAATGAATTTGCAATTTGAACAAGTGTAAACTAAACTGTAAAGGCTTGCATAATTAAGTTTCTTGGCTGGTGGCCACAGGCACGAATGTATGTTAAATTTGCAGCAATACGCTTAACAGTATGTTTGTTAACTTAACATGGATTAAGCTGTTGCTGTTAAATGCGCGCCTAGATTCAAATGTATTAATTTGTGTTGCACTGTTTAAAGTTAGATTTTTAGTTTGTTTTATTTGAAACTTATTTTGAATATGCAACATAAACAAGTAAATCAATAGTGCCAGCTTGAATAGTTACGTTATAGTCTTAATATTATCATATCTTGGAGCGTTCCGCTTTGACTGCACGCAATTTGATGCTCTGGATGGCCTCATTCAAGATGCTGAGCACCATGTCGACCTTCTCCAATGTGGCATTCTCGCCCATCAGGCCAATACGAAACACATGCTCCACAGTGGGACCCAGGCCGCCGCTAATTTCCAGATTATATCTGCAAAATCGAAATTGAAAGAATATGATTCACATTATGTCAAAGAGACGCGAGTATCAGGTGACGCACTTGCGCATCGCATAATCGGCGACCTTCTTCCAGTCGACGCCAAAGGGCACCTTAATCGTATTGACCGTGGGCAGGCGATCCGGCTCGTGCTGCACAAACATCTCCAGGCCCAGCTCCTCAATGCCCAGCTGGAGGCGATTCGAGCACTCCTGATGCCGCTGCACCACCTTCTTCAGACCCATCGCACAGAAGTGGGCCAGTGCCTCGCGCAGGCCGTACAACAGTGTCGAGGATATTGTGTGATGATAGCTGCGTGGCGTTCCATAGCAGCCCCAATATTGCCCGATCAACAGTATATCGAAATAGTAGACCTTCGGCTTGGACTTGCGTTGCCTGATGTGGGTCAGAGCGCGTTTGCTGAACGAGATGGGCGTCAGGCCGGCCGGGCCGCCCAACGATTTCTGTGAGCCCGTATATGCCACATCCACCTTCCACTCGTCCATCAGGAAATGGGTGCCGCCCAAGGAGGCCACCACGTCCACGACCAAGAAGCAATCGTGCAGCCGGCACAGTTCACCAATTTCGCTAATGTGCCGCTGCAGGATGCCCGTCGAGGAGTCGCCCTGCGTTACGAAAAACACGCGCGGCTTGTGTGTGTCGAACGCGAAGCGTATCTCTTCCAAGGTGAGAGCACGCCCAAAGCTGGCCTCCACGTAGCGGACATCGGCGCCATAGCGTCGCGCCATATCGGCCGCCCGATGGCCCCAGACACCGGTGATGCCCATCAGAACGACATCGTCGTCCTCGATCAGATTGCACAGAGCCGCCTCCATGCCGCTGTGCCCGGCACCGCTAATGCACATTGTGGCATCGTTCAGCGTCTGGAATATGTACTTGATGCCCTCCTTCACCTCGTCCATGATCTGTGGAGCAGCGCCAGAGCAAGTCACCATTTTATTGGAGCAAGTGAGCATTTCATTAGACCAAGTCAGCATTTCATTAGAGCAAGTCAGCATTTCATTGGACCAAAGCAAATGGACATAAAATGGGCACAATTCATGGCGAATAATATCCAAAGGGGTAAGTCCAGTCAATACTATTTTATTCGAATCTAAGCTCAAAATATACCCAAAATAGTAGGAAAGGGAACTTTCCCAATAGTGATTCTTACTTAAATTTCCCTTACGAAAATTGAAACCTTATTAAATATACTATATTTTAAGCTAGATCGAATAAGCTTGATGAATACGGTCTGACTTCCAACTGTAGCATAAAGACCAAGTAACCCTTATTTTCAATAGATATAGGGTATAATAGTCGACATAATCCAAGACTTCCAAGTGATTGCCACAGCATTAATGTCCCTTTCCACTCTAAACTGCAACTTAACATAGCATTAACATGACTGTTAAAGTAGACTGTTAGATATGTTAGGTTAAGGAGAAACAGAGCCCAATGGCGATTTACAGGGAACGTAAAAAATGCTCAGCACGCATGTGGGAAATATTCAGAGCTATTTGTAAGTAGAAAATTATAGTATATGGACAAACCTGCAGGCATTCCGGATGCATATGTCCGAGCACCGGATTGCTCATTGCCTCCAGCACACGCTGCGAGCAATTTGATGGACCCGGGCCCATCAGGGTCTTGCTGGGCACAAAGAGTGCCCGCTTTAGTACAAGTGGGGGTGGCACCTCCATTTCTCAGTCTGTTTGTTTTTTGTTTTTGTTTTTTTTGTGTACACTTTGAATTGAATTGAAATTTTCCACAATTTAAAGGCTTTATGTAACTGCAAAAGCGACGCTTATCACGGCAACCTAACTAAATAATATAAGTAGAATATGCTCTCTGGATGTTTCGCTCTGAAATCTGAAGATCTAACTGAAACGCTTTGACTGCAGCTCGTGCGGCTTTATAGCTGGGCGAGCGCACAGCGCTTCTTATCTATTCAAATAGCGCTAATGAACGCACTTGAATAAGTGGTAAGAAATAAACAAAATACAGAAAAATGCTCAATTAAAAGATGAGCGCGCACTCTCTCTCTCTCTCTCTCCCTCTTTCTCTCTGCCTGTCTTATCAAGATGGGATGCCTACCGACCCCTGCCGCCAAGCCGACCGCTCGGGCTTCTTAATGCGTCGTTGGTGCGAATTCTTTGACCATATATCAATGACAGCCATCCAAAGGTTATGAGCGTGGCGTCATGGTGAAATTCGTCGAGGCTGAGTCGGCGTTGTCTGCATGGACCCTGGCTACAGTGGCCACCCAGCACGGCGACCCCAATTGTTTTGCCAGCTCATCGG